TAACGCAGTGGCACACTAATTACACAATAACATGATAAACACACACTAACACACCCAACACACTAACACATACCCAAGGCGGCGTCGCCAACGCCTGACTTTCCATGTGGGACCCCGGCGCAAAGTTCGCGGTGCCGAGCACCGGGGACCCACGCTACAGACAACCGTTCGCGGCAGCCGCCCCGCGCAGAAGATGCTCGCTCAACTCTCGCCCACCGCCAATGCCTGCCTTCCGTCAGGGGCCACCGCCGGTGCTACCACTCTACCAACAGAGGTACTCAAAGCGAACACAACGTCATTTATCGCCCGGCGATGGTCACCACCGAAACAAAGCCTTGGGGCGAGACACGTGCGCCACGCGGCGCAGACAACTTTACAGGGGGGGGTGTCAGTACTCTCACACACCAAGGCATTCCTTCCGCCAGGGGTCACCGCTGGCGCTACCACTCTACCAACCATGATGATGGTGATAGCGGTGATCACCGCTCGCGAACACAACGCCACCTATCGCTCAATAATTGTCATCTCCGAATTATGGCTTTTGTGCGTGACACGTGCGCTAAGCGGCGCAAACAACATTACAGGGGTTGTCAGCGCCCCCACAACATGATTGTGTTTGCCCCAACCTTTGAGTCGCACATTGAGAAACTTTCCTCCATTCTATCAGTATTTTGTGAGGCTGGGCTCCAACTTAATTCTTCGAAATGCCATTTTTGGCATCGCCAAGTTACTATTTGACTCATCTAGCATTTGCCCCGATTCGACAAAGTTTGCTCTGTCCTTGATTTTCTCTTACCGGCTTTTGCCAAGGATGTTCGAAGTTTTGTGGGCCTATGTTCGTTTTTCCGATGATTCATCAGAAACTTTGCAAAGGTTGCACGCCCCCTCACTGATCTTTTGAAGAAAGATGTGCCATTTGAGTAGGTTCCTGATCAAGCCACGGCTTTTTCCCGGCTCATAACACTTCTGACCACGCCACTGATTCTCATCCACTTTGACCCATCCGCTTCAACCGAGGTCCGCACTGATGCTAGTGGCTAGGATATTGGCGCGGTGTTATCCCAGCGTCAATTCAATCATGATCAAGTTCTTGCGTATGCCAGCCACCTCCTTTCTCCTACAGAATGCAATTACTCAATTACTGAGCACGAGTGCCTGGTGCTTGTATGGGCGATTCGCAAATTTTGCCCCTATTTATATGGCCGGCATTTCATTGTTACCACTGACCATCACGCTCTATGCTGGCTTTCAACTCTGAAAGATCCAACAGGGCGCCTTGCTCATTGGGCTCTGCGCCTCCAGGAATTCACATACACAGTGGTTTACAAGTACGGCTGTTTACACCAAGACGCCAACTGCCTCTCTCGGTACCCTGTTGACGCTCCAGATCTCGTTACGGACGACGCGTCCATTTGTATTTCTTCACTCTCCGCTTTTGGCAACACGGGATGTGAGCAACGGAGGGACGTGTCCCTACGAGTTTTAATCGACAGCCTGAATACTGGCTCTACAGACAGTTCGCTTCGAATGTTCGTCGTCATAGACGGCATCCTATACCGCTGCAACATGCACCCCGGAGGACAGGAACTACTACTCGTAGTACCCATTCATCTGCACTCTACTGTACTTCAGCAACTACATGATGATCAACGGCTGGCCACCTTGGTGTTGCTAGAACGAATGACCGTGTCCGCCCACGCTTTTGCTGGCCCGGCCTCTATTGTTTCGTACAACGTAATGTTGCTTCTTGCGAGTCGTGCCAACGCCGCAAAAGACCACCTGTACAACTCGTCGGGCTCCTCCAACTGATCGACATACCTTCCGAGCCTTTATATCGTGTTGGCCGTGAATTGCTGGGCCCTTTCCATCTTTCTACCAACGGTAACAGGTGGGTTGCCTTCGCTACAGATTATTCGACTCGCTTTGCCATAAGAAGACCTTTTTCAAGCTGCTGCGCTACAGACGTCGCTGACTTTTTGATCCAGGACGTCATCTTACATCGCGGCGCTCCTCATCAATTGGTCACTGACCGTGGTTGCTACTTTTTATCTAAACTAATCGATGGCCTACTTCGTTCTGGTGCAACCAAACACAAGCTTACGATGGCCTATCATTCTCTAACGAACGGCCTCATAGAACGTTTGAATCGTATGCTTACTGACCTGCCATGTACGTGTCGACTGATCATCGCGACTGGGACATTTTTGCGCTACCTTTTGTGATCTTCCCTTACAATAGCTCATGCCACGACACTGCTGAATATTCTCCTTTTTACCTTTTGTATGGAAGAGACCCGACATTGCTGTTCGACAGGATTGTACCCAACCCTGCCGACCTGTCTATAGAATACGCTCGCCACGCTGTTAGCACAGCCGAAAAGGCCTGTCTGAAGTCTCTGTCGTGGTATGTTAGCCTGGCCGAAAAGCTTCGACTCAAGTAATCCGAACCTTACCGTGTGCTACGGTAGGTAACTGAGGTTACCTATGATATAGCCCCTCTAAACCATTTGATGCCCTCCACTTTTTCCGACATCGTCCACGTCACTTGCCTGAAGCCGTCTAACACCTCTCGTCCAACACTTGCTAACAAGCGCCGGGTTGACGCTTTTGCCGCCGGAGGTCGATGTTGCGGGGTTGCGGCTAGTTGTGGCTATCTCTATGCGGGGTGGTGCGAAGAAGAGGACGATGACGTGTTTGTTGTTTGAAAATACACAACGGCTGCCATTTTGACTGCTGGACTATTTTCCTACTCTAAAGTAGTAAATACATTCGCAACAGTATCGCCAGCCAAGTTATTATAACATTGATTGGGATCAACATACTAAAACAGCTTTACGCAATATTGCACAACACTCAACAACGTAAAGAAACATGGGAACTTACTCAAGGCGGCATTACCAACGCTTGACTCACCCGCGGCAGACAACCCCCGGTGCCGTACTTTGCGAGCCTACGTGAGAGACGACAACCATTCGCGCCAACTCTTTCGTGCCGCCTGGGGTCACCGCGGGTGTTACCGATCTAACCGCTATGATGATGGTTGTGATCAACGCTGGCAAACGCAACGCCACCTACCGCTCAATAGTTGTGACCCCGAAATACGGCTTCTGCGTGAGACACGTGGGCCACGTGGAGCAAGCAACTTTACAGGGGGTGTTCGCTTCATTCTTTTTAAAATTCTTCTGTGCAGCAGTTCGTCACATCGGAAGGTAAACGTCAATTGAATTTTATACATGTTGACTATGTGATTTTTCGAGATCTCATTTTCGTCCACCTGCTTTACGAACACTTTTAAGTTCTCCAGGTTTTCAGCAAAGTCTTTGGGCAGCTTTTGGCAAAGGGTTGTGTGCGCTGTGTCTGAAATCTGAAACACCAAGAAGGACCACTGACAAAACCAACAATTCTGATCTCCTGCGCCCACATGCATGCTTTGAAACACAACTGCACAGTAGACAGTCCCCTGTCTTCAGCACGTTGTTCTAGTGTCCAATTGTGCGGACGGGCCTCAAGTTTTAGACCATTGGGCTTTCAACCCTCGGGGAGCTTCCTTCGTGCTTCTCATAGCCCTAAGCTTCTCCTCGAACTTACGCCAATCGCGCACTATTTTTTCACTCACATCAAAGTGTCATCCAGCAGCATGGTTACCATTTTTAAGCGCGAACTCAACCGCTATCAACTTGAACTTTGATGTCTAGCTTTTCCACGATTGCCGAGGCAGCATGCTGAAACGGTGAAACCGGGCAAACGAACTGGACAAAGCGGAGATAGTGACTGAACCACCGCAGCACAGTGGCGATTCAGACCGGGTTGATTGGCAGATTATGGGAGAAGCCTTCGCCCTGCAGTGGGCAGACTGGCGATGAGTGTATTGTTTTTATTATGTACCATGTCTATTCTTTACCAGATGGGGTCCCGCTCTACTATTGATTTCATGGTAGTCTTCTGATAGGCTGCACAAATTTTCATGATACATACCTGTTTGTTGGGCCAACTGTTTTCTTTGTTTTTAGTGGACCAGGGGTGACTAATGGGATTTGCCCAAAATCTGTGGCACCTACTGACAGGCCACACAAGATTGGTCGCACATATAATGGCTGCCTTAAAGGGCCTTTAAACCGGCTCCAACTTTTTTTTTTACAACCCCCAAACAAGCGAGCCAATTCGTACAGCAGACTGCGGTGGTCACATTTTTTGAATATTACAGCGCCGCATGCCGCACACACCCTTCATTTCGAAAAACAATGCCCGTGCCTCTTTTCTTTCTGACCAATCCCCCTCGTGTAGGCGCAGAGACATAAGCTTGGATATGGGCAACTTGATGTGCCAAGACTGATTGTTGGCCTAGTTGGTTCTTCCTTAATGACACACTTTAGCCATGAAAGATCACAAACGCAGGGTAAAGAAACTTGGTGTGCCACTGAGCTCATAAATTGGTCGTTTGCCGTACGAGATGGCACCTTGGCTCTGCAGTACTGCAGTTTTGGCTGCGCAGTTCGCATTTTCATTTGTTTGTGCTGCCCTCTGCCCTTTTGCAGAGCCCGAGACTTCCAGGAAAAGTGGTATTGCCAGGACGAAAGCTTCTGTTAGAAAGAGGCATCTTGTTACTTTCTGATTTCTGATAAAAGAACGATTTTCCTCGCACTGTGCTTCCTTCATATACCACTATGACATGCGCTGATGATATATCACTGACATTGTGTCACGTTGCTGAAGGAGGCGGAGTCACAACCATGGCCTATGCTTTCCTCCTCCTCATGGCAGAGAAGGGTGACAAGGTCGCATGAAAATATTAAGCCAGCTGACACGGATGTACTAACTCTTGTAACTTACTTATTTACACGTATTTACAAATTTGTTTTGGAAGCAAGTTCACATAGCTGAAGTGTGCATGTTTCTCTTCATAACAATTTTCGGTCATCGGGGCTCTTTACTACTGGTCCTTCAAAGAGCTTTGCTGTATTGCCCATGGGGGTAGCATGGTGATAGACTTTCCACTTTCAGGTGTATGACCTGGTTGCTGGAGCGGAGCTGTTTGTGCAGCAGGCTCAGCACAACAGTGCGGCACTGGTGCCCCCCCAAGGCATCATTCATTGCCAGCATGACCAGCCTCAGGCCGAGTGCTCCCATGCCGAACCTGGCTGTCCATGCCCCGTTTCAGATGAGCTCAAGTACCGTATGACCAGGTTCTCCCTAGACTATGTGGACATCAGCTTGGAAGAGGCGAGCTCATCGATCTGCTTTCAGGTATGCTCTCTTGCCATGTTATAGCTTGCCCATGGTTTATCCCTGCACAAGTCTACTGTACTGCATGATTACTGATACTCTTGTCACTCAAGTTCATGTGCAGTGTAGACCATTTATAACGTAACCGCTTAAGTGCAGAACCGCCTACAATGCGGCCTTTTCCAATCCCGTTTACCCTCCCTTAGAACTGCATGTATACCGCTTATTGTTCAGTCCCCCAAGATGAAAGACTGGTTATAATGTGGTGCCAGAAATTGTTTGTGACAAATGCTGTAGCGAGTGTGCTTCTGGAAGGAGGCGCGCTGGGGGTGCCGCATGGGAGATGAAAAACAAGGTCGTTACGGAGGAGGAGGGGACAAAGAGCGAACAAATGAAGGGTGGAAAGAAAAAAAGAAAATGAAAAAAAAAAGACTGCGGGACACTGCACGGGCTCAACGAGTAAGGGAGGAGGACGGTTGCCTCGGTGAGTGATAAGCTTTTGCACCGGCGCCAATGTAGCTACAGCGTACTGCGTCACTAGCGTGGCTTCGGCTGCTCGCCGCTCAACGTTATCCTGATTAACTGCATGCGCTTAACAGTTTCCTGTAGGGAAAGACATCGTCATTATCGAGCTTGCAACAAATATCACGTTTGTTTTCTTGTCCATAAATTGAAAACCTTCGATGGTTTTATAATGCGAGCTTTTACTTTTGCTGCCAGTGCGCTATCGTATGTAAGCTTGGCGAGTTGTCATCGTTGCTGATCTGCCGACCACGAACACGAACTTCGTATCACGCACTCTGTTTTTGGTTCACTGCTAGTGCGATCTTTTTTGACGCACAATCATCATGTTTTGGACAAACTTTTCGCAACAACATGCCAAACGGCAAGCTAGGACTAATCAGCGTTAGTTGTGCTTCGATTGGTAGCAGTCGTGCGAATCTAAGTTGCGATTTGATACTCAATCAACGAAACTCTTTGCGGTGGCCGCACTTGACAGGAAGGGATACATATCGTTAATAAAACGAGGGCGGCACCTGTAGCACTCAAATAGTGGTTCGTGATTTGATTGCAATGTCTTAAATCGTGTGTGCACCCATGAAATCGAATGGTTGGCATCTTTTAACGCGTCAAATTCTGGACGTGATTCGACATACTTTCTATGTAATGCACATAATCGAGCTCATCTCGTAGGCCGCGAATTTCTGCCAGGGTGCTTTCATTTGTTAGACACCGCCCGACCCTTTCACCTTCATTTCATTGGCTTTGCGTGTCTTTGGGCATTAAATTTTTTTTAACATTCATAAATTTTAGTGTTAGCAAGCACGCATTGCACATTTAGATTTTTGGACATGCGAAGCTGCATGTTCAACACGTTTTGCGCAAGTGTGGCTCTTGAACATGGTTGTTTCGGTTATAGTGAGGTACCGCTTATATTGCGAACATTCGCGACTCCCGCAACTTATGTTATAAGCAGTCTATACATTATTCAGACTAGCCGGGTCATCTGGTTGCTTATACTGATGTAATCTCCTGGTGTTATGGCACACTTTATCACTTGCCGTGCTGTTGCAGTCACTACAGTTCATGTTCTCCTCGTCCGCTTTGCTCTGCTCGCTGCACCACACCTTTGTGTTCCCCAATTTGCCTGCTTCTCTTGCTCGCAACTCTGCACCATCTAGTCCAGCACCCTTACTCTGCTATCTGCCAGGTGGCTTCACACTGTAATCCCGCAGGACATCAGTTATCTTGCAGCTGGGTAAGGAAAGGGCAGAACCTTTCTTGGCTGTTGAGTTTGTTGGTTCTTTTCATCAGGTTCCTTTGCTGTATTTTGCTAATAGACTTGGCTGATCGATCATAATGCTGCATTGAAGTAATCAAGTTTTCAAAGGTTGCAATTTGTGGGGTCTCGTCATGAGGCACGCTCTCGGAACATAGACACCGTAGATGCAGTCGGACTGAACCAAACAACACATTTATTGAACTACCATTTTTACTCACGTAATGAACGTACTCGCATAATAAACGCATCTCCAACTTCAGTCACCAAAATTTGAACTTTTTTCCCCGCGTAATAAACGCACCTCCTACATTCATCCGCTGCAGTCCCGCTAACCGACACCTGCGGCCTCCTCACCTGTCGGATCTTTCATTTCTTATAATTTTCCCGACCCCCCTCGGCCACCTCGGCTCACGCTCTCCCCCCTTTTGCCCGTTGCCCTGTGCCGTATTGTTTTTCTTTCTATCTGTGCAAGGCACGTTCCCCGTCTTTTTTATCTGTGCGCCGCAGCGGGGTTCACGAATGGTGCAAGTGTAGAGACATCGCAGCTGATAAGCACTCAGAGAGTGAAGGTCATGAAACTGTCTGCGCCGACTGACGGTCGCTTGCTGTGAATACGAAAAAGCCCAACCACAGGCACGTGATTTTTATGTGACGACGACAGGATTTGCTGTCGTGAAGGGCCATTCGTCGCTATCGGGTCACAGCTTTCTGGAAAAGCAGAAAAAATCGCTTGACGTCCAGAAAAGATTGGGTCAATTTCCGCAACATGGTAGCACTCTCGATTCTCGCTTTGCTTGTTATTCGCACGTACAGGAACTTCTCATGTAGAAGCGAGGTGGGTGTCGTATTTTGTCGCTAATCTTTTTATCGATGGTTTGTTTTTATGCTTCGGGGGCAGCTTGCTGCAATGTTGGTTGCTTGCTACAATGTTAATGGCATCGTCACGGTTGACGTGCGAGGTTGCCGGGAAGTTGGCAAAGTGCATCGAAGCATACGCTTTTGGTTGCCCCTCAAGATCACAGCAGATGCCACTGTTGCGGTTCATTGATTGTGAGAAAAGATAGTCGCAAAACGCTTTTATGGCGTGTGCGCGTGGCCCGGGGACATTTTGCAGAAAATAGTGCCATCAACCACCAAAGATAGGTAAAGTGCAACAAAGAAGATGTTTCCAAACAGTGTATGCGTGTGTCAATTGTGAAAGGCTAAGCAACTTGTCTTTTTTTTTTTGCATTACCGATAATGATAATGTTTTCATAAAATTTACCCCACGTAAAAAATGCACCACCCAACTTTGCTTCAATTTTTCTAGAAAAAAGTATGTTCATTACGTGAGTAAATACGGTACTTTTATTTCGACGATATCGTTGGCCAAATTAAAATACGCCACTTGGGATTAACATGCTAAGCTAAAATAACCTTACACAATATTTCAATACACTCAATCAACTTGAGAACAAACAAGGTAACGCTGAAGTGGCATTGCCAACGCTCGACTCGCCACGAGGGACCTACGGGGTACCCGTGGTCACCGCACCCCACGAGACCTTGTCAGGGGGCTAAGAGACTCACCAATATTTTCTGTTCAAGCACCTAGCCTCGCCGCCAGGCGTCCCTGCTGGCGTTACTGCACTAACCATAATGAGGATGATGGCGATAAATAGGCTTGTGTGAATACTGAATTTTAGGTTCGAAGCGAATTCAAAGTGAATAGTGATTTTGGTCAAGTAATTTCGAATCGAATTTGAACAGTAAATATGACATGTAAAAAAAAAAATGGGCACATACATTATAATGTAACTTACTTCCCAATATTAAAAAAAATTGAAATATATTTCTTCATGCAAATACTTTTTTTTAGTGTAAAGAAAGTGGAAAAAAAACTTTGAGGAGTAACAGGATACGACGTTCAGTACGATTTGAGTTATAACCTGTAAATTACATAACATTTTAAAATGTGTTATATTTCAAGCATATAAACCGTCATAACAAGCTTTTAAGCTTAAAAAATGATGAATTGACTTGAGGGTAATATGTTCATTAAGGAGCCCTGCAAAACGTTTTCAAGTAGCCATGAAATGGATTCATTAAAGAAGCTTACTGCCTCATGGATTCACCGCCGCAAAAAGTTTTAGAATCCGTCCAGTACGAGTGGAGTTGCAAATATTTGTCGCATGCTGCAATCGCATTCTCTTTTTTCTAAACCCCGACGAAAGCGGTGGAAGCTAAGTGCTGGGGGATGGCATGGGGAAAGAAAATACGCCACGCACGCCTCGTGACCTTGAGTACTTTTTCTCTTTTTTTCTTCGGATATGCGGCTGTCTAGTGTGATTGTGCATGTACACGTAGATTAGTGGCGGCCTCCCGCGGGGACCCCAGTAACGACTGAGCACGCCATGCCTAAATCAGCCAATGGTTGATACAATGGCTTTAACAAATGATTTTTGAGCTTGTACCGTGATTTGCAGAGAGAAGAGAGCAATTTTAGGCAGACTGAGATTTTAGTGTGAATCGCAGGTTGCATGCTGTGCTATAATATGGCTTGCTGCTCTTGGGAGCCTCGACTACGGATCGGCAGCGTTTTTTTATCATGCTCAAAAAGTTTTGCAGGGCCCCTCTAAATGTAAAGTGAGGCTTCATGGTAAAATGGATTTCCTATGGATAGGTGCTTTTACGGTTTAGTACCCCTATACTGAAGTGAAACCACTTTTACAGGCAGTTAATTGAGGACTAATATACATTCGCTCATTGCAAATGCTTCAAAATTTTAAATAATGTACAGTGAACTCCCTTTAAGACGAACTCGAAGGGACCATGAAGAATTGTTCGTCTTATCAGATGTTCGTCTTATCAGAAGCACCCTCGAAAAAAGAATTGGCTACATACCTAGGTGCATGCAAATATCTTAGTTCAAAACAAAGTATCAAGTACACTTACAGTGAAGGAAAAAGACACAAAAGTAATTTATTTGAGGGGGTAACCTGATAGGCAACTGCGTTCAAGTGCTCTTGCTCGGCTTGATTCAGTCCATAATGGACGTCTGTTGCAGGTCACTTGCAGGTTTATTGCAGGTCACTTCGTCAACGGCGGTGGCCTCACCGGCAATAGATCGGAACACAGGTCCGTGTCTTTTTCTGAAGCGATCGAGCCATCCGTCGCTGCAGGCAAACTTGATGTTCATTTGTAGGGCAATTCCCTCCACTTTTGCCTTCCGAACTACGCCATTCACAGGCAGATTCAT